AAGAATTCCGTCTACCACACCTTCCAACCACACTGGATTTTCAAGTTTCCTTTTAGCTTTACAAACGTCGTTCAGTCTGTCTGTATATCCGTCTGTATGTATGTTTATATGTTATTCTATCTGTTTATATATCTGTGTGTTTCTGCGTATTTTCTATTCTACATATCATTTTCACAATCATTTTCATTATTATTATTATTATTGTCATGATTGTTATTATTATCAGTATTAGCATGATTATTATTATTATTACTATTAGCATAATGATATTTATTATTATAATTGCTATTATTACTACTGTCTATTTTCATCATTATTATTGTTATTATTATTACTATTATTATGATTTTTATTACCATGATGATGATGATTATCATTATTATTTATCTATTTTTTGTCTCAATTTCACTTCCTTTTGAACCAGAAGAAAAGCTCATGATTATGTTCATGAAAGCTATGAAATATTTATATCAGACAAAAGATCCATCGAGAAAGATTTTTTCCAAACTGTAACATGCAGAGAAAATGTGTATTTGGCATTTCTGTTCCTATTGACATTCTTAGTAATATATGCACATATAGAAAGAAATTATATGCGTATATATTTATAGCCAAATATTTCTGTGTGCGTGTTTTTATATATACGTGTGTATATATGTGTGTGTGTGTGTGTGGATGGGTATGAGTGAGTATTTCTATCTTTTCTTGTGAGAAGAATGGTATATCAAGTGATATAATATCACTTCTTTTAAATTTATTGTTTATTGTGTATATACTTTGTAAACTAGATATGAATATGCTCTATAATGGTAACGCACTTGTATATATTCAAATGAAGGAATAAGATGCTCAATACATTATGTACACATTTATACAGGCACAGACAAACGTACACATACACACACACACACATACACACACACACACACATACACACACGTACGCACGAACACACACACACATGCATATACATACACACATAAACACACAAACACAGTAGGCACACAAAAATGTAAATAGTTGCCCACATACACATGCGAGAAAGCACAAACACACATAAACGAAGCCGACACAAGCACAAACCCACAAATAACCATTTATAAGAATAAGTAAACCCACACATACACATATAAACAAAACAAAACAAAAACATTGAATGAATCACACAAACAAACACTCCCAGAACACATACACAAATACGCAAACACACACGTAACGAAGAAAACGAAGCGAAATTGATGACAATGTGGAATACTCTTTAAATCTTCATCATGGTTAGAAAATAGTTAATTGCTAAGACGATATAATCACTGTGCCTTATTCAAAGCCAGTGCTAATTAGGCCTTTAGTGTTCCCTCTCATTGTTCCTAATTGTCTCACCTGTAATTATACCTTTGTTCTTTCCCTCCTTTTATTTACGTGTTGGTGTCTGTGTATTATCCCCTATTATCTAAATTATAGAGTTGACAGCTATAGTGTAACGATTACATGACATACCCGATTCATTTTAAGGGAATACGGTGTTTTCCAGTTTTTTTTTCTGTATCGCACAGATAAATATATACATATATACACACATGCACACACAAATCATATATAAACATTCTCACATACTAACACACATACACCCACACCAGCACGCACGCACACATACAGCACACACAACAGACACAACATAACACACACACACACATACACATACACACACTCACACAAACACACACACAAACGTACGCGTAGGCACATATACATACACTTTCAAAAATGTATGTGTGTGTGTTTATATATATATATATATATATATATATATATATATATATATATATATATATATATATATATATATATATATATATATATATATATATATATATATGCATACATACATTGTGTGTGTGCATGTGTGTGGACAATATATAGATATTAATAGATTTACAGACATTTATATGCATACACGCTCAATTCACATTCATATTCTTATTCATTTTACCATTTAAGTATTTCCTTTGAGTTATTCCGCTGCACATCCCCCCTTCTTTCTTGTCTGTTTCCAAAATCTCCACTTTGTCTCAAACTTCATTTTCCTCTCATTTCACTTTATCATCATTCCAAAGTTTAAAGTGCGCAGCTTAAGACCACCGGGAGGGTTGAGGATGCAGTGACATGGATATGTTGCTTTTATTTCCATATCATGGCACACGCACGCATGCAAACAAAAACACACACAAACACTAAAATGGACTCATACATGCAGACGCAGGGAAATGAATACCCGCGCGCGTGTGTGTTGTGATATATTTGGCCGCACACACTCACACACACAGACACACACACAGACACCCACACACACACACACACATACACACACACACATACACACACACACACACACACACACACACACACACACACACACACACACACACACACACACACACACGCACGCATGCACAGACATAAACATATATATATATATATATATATATATATATATATATAT